ATGCCACAATCTTGTCTCCATTCTCTTCTTGGTATTTGGGCATGCAAATAGATTGAGTCTTTCCTTTTGGAACATCTGAGCTCATTCAGTAAAATCAAACAAGTAAATTTAGATAGAATCTAAACACTAACATTTATTCTTCACTTTTTTAAAAAAGAATTATTTCATTATTATTATTATTATTTTTAATTTGACCAGAGAGAGACAGAGAAAGTAAGAAAGGAAGCTACCAGGTCTGGGGCTCGAATGACAGTTGGCTATGTCGGAGTCCAACACCTCAACCACTGTATCACCTGCAGCCCCCCATTTCTTAACTTTTTAAAAAGTTTATTTCTTCTGTGTGTGAGAGAGAGACAAGCACCCTCAACAGGGTTCTTAAGGTGCAAGCCACCCCCAACCTTAGCCAGCTGGATCCTGGGTATGCTTGTGCATTCACACCAGGCATGCACAGGGGTACCCTGGGATGTGAACTGGGGACTCTCCCACGTTGATTACATTGTTATAGAGCACTGTGCTACCTTTCGTCCCTCTGTCACTTTTTGCTTAACCATGTTTTCTTTTTTTTTTTAAAGAATTATTTTATTTAGCTCTTATTTTGCGAGAGAGAGAGAGAGAGAAAGAGAGAGGTAAAGCGAGAGAGCGAGCTGCCAGGTCTTAACTTGAACCGCTGTTGGCCATGTGGGAGTCCATTGCCCTTGATCACCATGCCACCTGCTGGTCCCTAACTATGTTTTTTAAAATGAGTTTTTTTTTTTTTAGAAGTTTTTGCTATAGGGCACGTGTGCTCACCAGACAGACAGAGAAGAGAGCCAGAGACAGAAAGCAAGAAATCACTCCCCAGGGGGATGGCCACGCTGCAGTCCCTTCTCCATTCTCCTCTCGGGATCTTGGGCACGCACGCACATGAGCCTGGTGTGAGTTTTAAGCCACTGCGTCCAGGAGTCGAACCGTGGTCTACTACATGGGAGTCCAGCTACATAGCCATTACACTAACTGCTGGTCCCTAAAATGAGTATTTGAAAGACTCGGATTTGAAAGACTAAATGCTTATTTCAGTGGCGTTCCATTTTAGCTATGCTTCCTTGACTGTGTGAGTTCATGACGCGAGTTGTGACTGTATGCCATCATGCTCTTGTTTTGGTAGGCCGCATCTATAAGTGCTTGTTTACTGGCTCTGTGAGCTCACTACTGACACTGCCGCTAGACATGCTATCAACGTGAGTATTGAACCTGGATGACGATGAAGATTATGGACAGTTCCCTAGCGAAGGGGTGGTTAGGATTCCTTTTCGATTAAGATATGTTGCAGAAAATATCTGCTTAAGGACCATACCAGTTCATTTAAAGTTCCAAGCTATTAGACTAAGGTCTCCCAAATTGAACCTTACTCAAGTTTTCAATGGAGGGAAAAAAGTCATTTCATTAATTTCATTTGAGTAATCGTCTGTAACTTTGTTTTTAACAGGGAAAATCTGTTGGCGGATTGTTTGCAGGGTTGTTTTGTGGTAACGTGCACACTGTGTGCATTCATCAGCCTGGTGTGGCTGCGAGAGCAGATAGTCCATGGAGGAGCCCCGATCTGGTTGGAGCACGCTGCTCCGCCTTTCAATGCTGCCGGGCACCACCAGAATGAGGTAACTCCCCTACCCCACAAAACTGATTTTAGGTGAGAAGTGAAAATGGTTATTTTTTATTTTATTTATTTATTTATTTATTTTACATTTTTTCACTGATTCCCACAGCATACAAAATACAATTTCCTATCCGCAATACATCGTATAGTGCCTTAATCGTATATGTTATCATCAACAAATAATTTTCCATTTCTTGTTACATATGTGTATGTGTGTGTGTGTGTGTGTGTGTGTGTATGATTCCCCCCCGCCCCCCATATTTCTACCCTCTGCCATTTTCCACCCTCCTCCTATACTGTCTCTGGTATCTGCAGTTGCTTTCCATTCCTTCCCTCCCCACACACATTTTATTGATTCACAAAATATCTTAATTAATCTAATTCCTCTCAATAGTAAGTTCAACTAATATATACATATCTGTAAACACATGTTTGACTTTTAGCATGAAACTGAGTAGAATGGATATACTATAAAATAACACTTAGCTGAGGCTGTATAGCTTACTGTGGTCATTGAATAGGTATTTTTTAATATAGTTTTTAATTTCAAGAAAGGTAGTTTTAGCTTTAATGAATCAATAAAAATATGTTAAGAGAACTTTGTTTAAGACTTAAAGCCAGGAAACAGGTTATGATTCTGTTCAAATAGTAGGGACATACACCTGTCCACAACTCAGGAGGAGACAAAAATCCTTAACTCTGGAAAACAAAGCATAGAAGAAGATCAGTAATGTTTTAGTCAAAAGTCATAACATTCTATTTCACCAGGTCAATCTCATGTACTTAATCTGTCTTCTGTTGTGGTCTGATCTGTTTAAATTCTGGAAGATAACATTCAACTTTGGACTTGCCCTTACCATTAAGCTGGCCATTTTCTTAGTTGTTTTTGAACTCTTATTTCTGTGTGTCTGACTTGATTTTTCCTGATATAGAACTCGCTTCAGAACTTCTTGGAGAGCTGGTCTGGTATCAGTAAATTCTTTCAGATTTTGTTTATCTGAGAATGTTCTTGTCTTCTCTCCCCATATGAAGGATAATCTTGCTGGATGTAGTATTCTAGGTTGAATTGTTTTTGACTTAACTCTTCGTCTGCTGTTAGCCTGATGGGATAGCCTTTGTAGGTAACTTGACATCTCTCTCTTGCTAGTCTTGAGCCTTAGTTTAGTCCCTGAAAGTACTAGTACTCAATTCCAGTGGAGGAGTCAGTCTTCTGAAAAATGAAAATTACTGTTGGGACTGGCAGGTGGCGTGGTGTTTAAGGGTGCTGAATTCTAGCTGGCTAATTCGATTCCTGGACCTGGCGTCTTGCTTTCTCACTTTCTCTCTCTCTCTTGCTCTGTTCTTTGGTCAAATTAAAATAACTAATTAAAAAAAAACAAAAACAAAAACACTTATTTTCCTTGAGATAGAAACCCTTGACTTTCATGCCCCCCATAAATGTTCTTCATGGCTGCAAAGGAGGCCAGTGGGAAGGCTTGGAAGAAGATTAAAAAAGATGTGAAAAACAAAAAGAAAGCTATTTTGACTGCCTCTTAATTTTCTAGCCAGATTGGAAGCAATGTTGGAGGGCCAACTAAAATACTTTTATTTTCTTTGCCCTGGTTAACTCTTAAACTCAGGGCTGCATTTAAGGTATAACTTAGGTATGTATTCAACATACTGCATAACATTAGGAGGCAACCCCACCTCCTTGCTGACCAGTTTCTTCATATGTAAAATGCCTTGCCTTTCATGCTGAGCATTTAAAAGTGGCAAAATTGAAACATTGTTGATCAAAGTCTTATGTACTTTTATTTTTTTCTTTATGAGTGGTGACATGGTTAAATGCAAGGTTATTCACTAGAGTGTTAAGAGAAGAAAGATACAATAAATGTTTTTTAGTATCTTGTTTGGGACTCAAACTGCATGGACTATATGGGAGCCATTACACTATCAGCTGGTTCCTAAAAGTGTTTTTAAGTGGTGTCTTTTTAAAAAATTTCTGTACAGTTTGTGATAGCTATTTCTTTTTTTAGTTTAGTTCTTTTTGTTGTTGTAGTTTTTTTTTTTTTTTTTTTTTTCTTTTTTTTTTTTTTTTAAGGTGTGGAAGGGTAATTTGGAAAAAAAGA